TCAGCTCGCCTAGCTTTGAACTAGTGTCTTCCGTAAGCTGTTTATCTTGTTTTTGTATGGGAAACATTTCCATCTATAAGTGTCCTGGAAGTGCCTGTCGCTGGGGCTGAGGCTGGGGCTGCAGGAGAGGTCCAACCAGAGATGACCATTTTTCAGAGGATTTAAGTATGAAGTAGGGAGCTGGCAAAGAGACCATCACTTCATTTCATAATGTGAGTCTACAGGGGGTCTCACTGTGTTAACGGTGAGTTAGAGAAGGGGGATGAACACAAGGGTTCCCGTAATCCTAACCTCATTCCCTGGTATAAGTTTGCTGAAGTATGAAAGCGCAAGACTACCTCTCCATGTCCGATGGCTGGGAAGTGTGTACACAAATGACTGAATCATCATCCAAGACAGCGGGCACGGAGCTGGTTATAAACTCTCAGAGGACTGAGCCCGTTCTAAAATAAGTGAAGTGTTGAAAGGACATCCAGCTTGTCCTTGTGCTTCCAATGGCTGCAGACGTGGATGCCATTCCCAGTGTGCTTCTGAACTCTGTGCACAAAGCACACACGTAAATGCCTCACTCCGCGGCTGCCTAACCAGCGGTCAAAGCTGCTTCCGGTGAGGTCGCTGTGACAATGACCACAGAGAGTTGGCCCTTCTCTGTGAGCTGATAGGTCAGGTAGATGCTGGTGAGGGAAGGCAGTGGTGGGTCGTGGGCGTTAGGCGATGCCTGACTTGGTGGCTGTGAGCTGGTGATGACTGGGAAGAGAGCCTTTCGGTACTACCTGCCGTGTGTCAGTGACCTCTCTGGGTGCAGTGGGTTTCCTGAGTGTTGTTGGGCTGCTCTATTCATCCCTTTAAACATTATTTACTTATTATACTGAAGATCAAACCTAGGACCTGTTGTACGCTAAGTATGTGCTCTGCCAGTGGGTTATGGCCCTTTAAAAAATTTCCCAAGCACTCACTCTGTCTCCTTGGTGCTTTATGACTTTGGTTGATGAAGTTCTCTTGGTTATCTGCATGGAATCACTCAAGCAGTGGTTACTGCCACACTCTTTACTGTTTCTATAAAATGTAGCTTGGGAAATGGTAAGGCCTTAGCTCCACCCTTGAAGTGCTCTGACCCTCTTGCAAATTCAAGCAAACACCCACAGCAAAGAGCATGGAAGGAGGGCAGAGGGCAGCAGGACCTCAGGGTCAGGGTCAGGTCTTTCCAACATTGATTTCTCCTCAGCTCAAAGAAAAAGAGGCAAGTTACACAGGCTTGTTTTTGAGGAGTCAGAAAATAAAGATAAGCACAGAAAAGAGAATAAGTATATCACCACCCAGAGATAAGCACTGTTAATATTTTAGTTTGCTATTTTCTAGCTGGGTTTCTAGATGCTCCAGGATTCTGTGGAAGTGCTTCAGAGACTCCATAAATACTAGCTAGCATTTAGACAAAGAAGTAGGCAAGGTTTTGACTGTATAAAAACTGCAATGAATGCACATATAGGATTCTTGGCACGAGCAACCTTGGGCAGGCAGAGATGACTAAATAATTCTGGGGCGCTCCTGAAGGCAGAGAGGACCTGTGGTCATCCCTAGGCTTGGCCTGGGGGAAACTGGCTGAGATTCTACTTGTCATCCCAGGTAGGTGGGCACACTGGGGGAGATAGGGCCCACCGTGGCTGATCCTCCCCTCTCAGGCTCCTGCTGCCCACAGAGCATGCAACCAGATGGTGCTGAAAGGACTTCCTAGTTGGGACAAGTGGACGCAGGGGCAGGGCAGGCTGACACCGGGAAGAGCCAGCACCGAAGGTCTGGCGGGGGACTCATGCGTCCGGCGTGAGGTGGGCCGGGTAGGGAAGCGGCCAGGGCAGGAGCAGAAGAGTAAGTGAGGAGAAAGGTGAAGGGGCTGGAGACTATCGTGCTGAACCTTACGGACTCTAGAGAGGACCCTAGGTTTTATTCTATTCTCAGGGAAAATTATTGAAACTTTGAAAGGAGGAGCGACAGAGCCTGACAGCTTCACTCTGGCTGCTTTGTGGAAAGAGGCCTTCAGGAGAGTGAGAACCAAAGATGCTAACAGTAATCCGGACTAGAGACCACACTGTGCCATTCCACGTGGAGTCTCTGGCTGCATGCTGGCTTGGGGTGTGGCACGCAGCTGGTCCAAACCCAGATGCACTGTGTACTTGAAATGCACAAAGCATGTCAAACTCTTGGTACAGAAATGAGTAATAAATTATCACATTGAAAATGAAAAAATATTTTCATTACACCCTGAAATGATACTATTTTATCTTTGTGGGGCTAAAGAAAATATATTAATATCTGAAATGGTGACTAAAAACACAATGCAAAGAATAAAGAGCTGATTCTTTGAAAGAAAAATTTAAAAAGGAAAGAGAACACACAAATCAATGTAATTAGAAAAATGAAAGAGGTGAAATCACAATGGACACCTCTGAAATCCAGATTATTAGCAACTACTTCACAAACCCTGCATGCTAATAAGCTGGAGAACTCAGACGAGTCTTGGATGCACATGTTACCAAGACCAAAACAAGTAGACTTAAAAAAATCCTGCATAATCTAACAACGGGTAATGAAATTGAAGCAGTAATAAAAAAAAACCCTACCGACTAAGAAGAGCCCAGGACCTGATGGGTTCGCTGTCAATCTTCCAGAACTTCAGGGAGCCCTAATGCCGATACTTCTCAAACTCTTTAAAACAACTGAAAGGGAAGGTGCACTCCCAAAGTCATTCCTGGAAGTTACTATTACCCTAATTCCAAAGCCAGACAAGGAGCCAACCAGAAACGAAAACAGGACAATCTCTCTGATGAGCAGGAGGCAAAATTCCTCAAGACACTGGCAAACAGAGTACAGTAAATCATCAAACAGATCATACACCATGACCAAGTAGGATTCATCCCTGAGACACAAGGATTCTGCTACATATGCAAATCAATAAATGTAATTCACATAAACAGAAGCAAGGTTCAGTGGGGAAGGGTACCAGGGAGGAGAAAGAAAAAAATGAGGAAAGAAGGAAAAAACAGAAACAAAGATTTTGTAAATAGGAAGGGTGGAGGGGTGGAAAGGAGGGCAGGGGAAGGGGAAAAAACAAGAACCAAGATATATCATGTACAGGTACAAGTTCCCAGTGATGAATGTGATCATGATGTATACCTCATATGTACCAATGAACTTACTGAATAAAAAAGTACAAATTTAAAAAGCATTGTAGTACGTCAGACATCTGCTACCCATTAGCTCAGTTTTTCACGTGCAACTCTGTTCATTTCTGAAGCAAGCTAGTTCCATTTTCTTTGATTTATCATTTTTGATTAGAAATAAGAAAGTCCTTGGCAGTACCCAACTTGATTAACACGTGTTACTGTGTCTTGGCTATGTAATTTGTTCAGCATAAACCACAGTCCCGGCAGCTATTTGAAGTCCATGGAAATCTGGAAACCAAATAATCTTGGTATAGTGTTGTTATCAGTGATTTATTATCTATAGTTTGAATCCTTAAAGTTGTCTCTCAAATAGTCACCTGAATCGGGGGCCAGGGATTTAGCTCAGTGGTTCCGCTGCCTGCCTCACAAGTGTGAGGTCCCGAGTTCAATCCCCGATAAAAAAAAGTCACCTGAATAGGAGAATTGTAAGTGAAAACAGAAGACAAGAAATATAGGAAAGTTGGAAACACTTTGCTGACAAAGTCAGAAAAAGTAGAAGATGTGGTTAGAAATATGGTGAGTGCTTCCATTTTAAAAAATTATTATACTAAAAGACATCTTGCCATTAATTCATCTCAAAATACTCCCCCTTGCTTTGAAATCATGTTTCCCATCATTCATGCTATTTTCCTGAAGCAGTTTTGGAAGTTCTCTTTTGTGAAAGTCTTTACCAGATGTGATAAAATATGGTTAGTACTGCTGGCAAGTGCTATCCAGTGGACGGGCAAGCTCATAGAAACGTTAAACAGCGTCTTCCCACCTATTCAGTAGATCCGTGCTGTGAGACTTCTGGCATTTCCCCAAAGTCAAAATGACCATGCAAAATAAACGTTTTTCATCAGTTTGGGACACTGAAGGAGCCACGACAGTGCAACTAAAGACACGAGGCGGATTTCCAGAGAAGTTTCAGAAAGGGGCAAGAGCGGTGGGTTAAGTGTGTTCACGACAGGAAGGATTAATAGCAACGTGTCTTTTATTGTGATTTAAAGACCATTTAAACGGGCTGGCTGGGGTTTTAGCTCAGTGGTGCGCTGCCTGTCTTGAAAGCACAAGGTCCTGAGTTCGATCTCCGGTACCCAAACAAACAAATAAAACAAAACAAAAAACATTTAAACACACCATATTTTAAAAAATCATACCTCATGTGTTTGAGCGCTTTTGGATGTTGCTTTTTGTGAATGATCTCTTCCCTTGGTTATGTGTGTATCGTTATAGCATAACATGGATACATACGGGAAATTCCCTATTTGAGCAAAAAAGAGATTATATGGTTTTTATATTAAACAGAATTCCTTCTCCAACTAAGCGGATTTGAAAGGACTCTAAGGTATCCTCAGGTTCCCAGAAGCCTAATATCTCTATCTGCTTCTGGGAAGAAGTGTTGGCTAATCCATCTTTGCACTCCTTGTAGTTCCTAGAATGCCACTAATTAAATGTTTGCTCCGTGCATGGCAAATCCTATTCTGTGTTTACCAGCAGAGTCAAACCAATAGACAAAATCTTTGTGGCTCTTAGCAATTCTGCCACCAGATGGCAGTGAGTCACCTTTAGTGGACTAGCCTGCACCTAGGCTTGGCTGCGTTTGAGGGGCAGGATGTAAGAGAGGACGTGTAGATGCAGGGGAAGGGGAAGGAGGATGTTTTGATCTAGAGAATCCTTTGTGGGAAAGAAAAAAAAAAAAACCCTCTGGAAGTGTAACCCAACTCTACAGAGTTCATGACATCTTAAAGCACTGTGTATAAACATACATTTTTCATTGATTTTCCTATGTACCTATGTTTTTCTCCTCAACTTTTATCCACACTAGTTCTGAAATAATACAAGCTTCACAAGCTTTCATGACTCAAATCTTCCAAATGCTGAGAATTCTAATTGATTCGTAGAGATATTTAAGAGTACAGTCTAGATCTTTCCCATTTAAGGAATATATATTTTATGAGGACCTACTCTGCCCCAGGCATTTTACGTATCACATCCCTTCCATTTTTCACAACAACTCTGAGAAATAGTTGCCATTAACCCCATTTACAGATGAGAAAACCGAGACACAGAGAAATACAATAAATGGTCTCAGAACGAGGCAGTGTCAGGCTTGGGGTCTGAACTCCCAAATGGTTGGCTTCCACGTTCGTGCACACATTGCAGTGTCTCTCAGTTTTGTACTGTTGACATTTGCGCAGGAGAACTCTTTGTTGAGGGGGCTGCTCTGGGCTTGTGTTGCAGGACGTTTAGCAGCATCACTGGCTTCTCCCCTGTAGATGCTCCCGCTGCAGGCGTGACGACCGGAAACCTATCCGGTCACTGTAAGTGTCCCCCGGTAAAACCATCTCTAGGTGAGAGCTGTGAGTTGATCCTGCGGCTGGCCTTCTATTTGCTGTGGAGTGGCTTTATCTGAGAACCAGAGGCGGGGTCCTGGCAAGCTTACTCTCCTGCAGAGCGATGAGTCCACTGAGCCAAGGAGACACCCCTGCCTGTCGCTCCTCCACAGCTCTGCACCACAATCTACCTTCCAGGACCTGTGCCAGACATGCGCCGGAGTGTGCACTTCTGCCCCTGCAAGGTAGCCACGGAGGTCTGCTGAGTATGCAGGGAGGAGACAGAGCTGGAGGGGTGAATGTGTGGTTGTCTGTCCTCAGCTGTGCCTGCGAGACCCCCCGATGGAGGATGGTGGTGATATGGGAGGGGAGGGGAGGAGGCCATGGCCCAGGGACCTCCACTTTTATCCTGACTCAGCTGCAGTACTGGGGCTGAGTCCTGGGGTGGCAGATGGGAGACAGGCTGAGGGCCACACCTTTCCGACCTGTCAGTGTGAAGACTTCTATCATCATATCTGCCGACACAGAAAGGCTCTTTGGGCGCTGGGCTTTCTCCAGAATCACTTATCTGTAGAGAAATTTTCAGAATTTCTACTTTTCACATGGTAGTCATTTCCTATGAAGGACAGTTTTGTTTTTCTTCTGGAAAAGCACAAAGGAGCCAAAGCAATAAAGTCTCATGGAGAAGTGGGATTTATTCTTAAATGAACTAGAGAGTATATTTGCTAAGTTCCAGAAAACACTGACATTTTAAAATTCTAATTCTAAACAGCACAATGTCTTTTGAAGTTGCAATTAAGAAATGTATTTACTTTATAGACCATTGTGGGTAGAATTACCTCTGACATAATATCCAGAATTCCCATTTAGGAATATGGCAAAATTTTCCATATATATCATATAATATATATCCCCCTTCACCATTAAGTTAGGTGTGATGGTTTAAGATAGTTTTAATGAGTAGAGATCTCACATTGCTTAGGTTTAACCTTAGGTGTTTTCACAGTTTTGGGTTCTATTGCCTATTTCCTTTTCTAACTGGAAATTTGTTTTTCCCTCTGCCCAGATGTGACAACCAGAAACATATACAGTCATGGGCAAGGTAATCGCTTTCTGGATATTAATTTTCTATTTAGTCACTGTATTGAACAATCTTATTTTTTGTTGAGATGAAATTCATGTGACATAAAATTAGCCATTTTAAAGTGAATAATTTCTTATAAACTGAGCACACACAAATGTTGTGCAAATACCGTCTCTGTCTAGTTTCATCATGTTGAACCGTCCTAGCATAGAACCATGTCCATTACTGTGTGCTGTTATTCCACATGTGCTGAATTGATGTTCTAGAAACAGGACTACAAATCACAGATGTCCTTGGGTCCTGCGGTATTGTCACCAGGTGGAGGTGGTCACAAGGGGCTGTGATATTGGGGGCTGTGGATTGATTTCCTCGTCTCCTGCAGTGTGGGAAACCCCACAGGTGTGGGATTTTTCCATTCCATAGCCTCACTTTGATTGCCACCTCCCTTCTTTGCAGCTAGCCCTTCCCATTGCTAAGATAAAGCTGAGTCCTGGCCTTGTCTGCTTCCTGTTCCCTTAGGACTGCTGACCTTCAATGAGGATTGCATGGGAAGCCCTGGACTTACATTGAGGTGTGAGCCAGGCAGGAAAACGAAACCAGTCTAAGGTTTCTCCAAGTCTTATACACATCCCTTACTCCACCTTCAGCCTGCTTGGAACTCAATAGTTTGAGCAATTCACACTGAAGTGACCCTGACACCTCCTTTGGCCAGTCACAAGCCTGGGTCTGGCTGCCAAAAATAATCAGTGCTTCCACATGGCTTGAGCAGAGCTATGTGCTGCCAGGCCTGGCCAAGAAGCCCTGGGGCTTGGAGTGGGCAGAGGTGGTGGTGGGGAGGACAAAGAAGCCTGGAAAGTCAGTTTGGCTTGCAATGGTTAACACTCAGGGGCCAGCAATTGCATAAGAACTGCACGTTATTTGTATAAACAGATATTTACGCTTAAATTTCCTATGTTCTTTTAAATATTTGTGCTTAGTGAAAACCTTCTCGATGTTTTTGCTGATATTATAAATTGATTTTTAATTCCATTTTCTATTTGCCTATCACTGGGTCCAAGGCTGCTGTTTTTGTGAGGTGTGTGTTCATGCATATTTGTGTGTGTATTGATCTGCCTGCCATGCCCTGAACCCAGTGTATTTTCCTTATTATTATTTAAGTTGAAACGTATGAAATATATGTAATGTATTAATTAAATTAATTGTTCAACAATTTGCCAAAGTTCTTGCTATATTGTGGATCAGAATAAATATTAGCAGCAAAATTTTCAATCATAGAAAATAGAGTCAACGAAAGTTTAAAGTTAAGTCAAGAAACAGGAGGGATGAGGATTTAGCTCAGTGGCACTGTGCCTGCCCCTTAAGTGCAAGGTCCTGAGTTTGATCCCCAGTACTGGGGAAAAAAAAAAATCAAGAAACAGGAAAAGTTGACATGGGCAAAAGGATCCAGAAAAGTGAAAAATAGAAGCCAGGGCCTGGATCATAAGATCCCAGGTGTACCACACCTTCGTATGTTATGGATAGAGCTCTGTCTTCACGAACAAAAGAAAAGCTCTATTGGAATAACATCTTTTCTTATTTGGTTTTTTGAGACAGGGTCTCACTATGTAGTTGAGACTGACCTGGAACTCACTATGTAGCCCAGGCTGGTCTCAGACTCACAGCGATCCTCCTGCCTCAGCCTCCCGAGTGCTGGGATTACAGGCAAGCGCCACCACGCCCGGCTTGGAATAACATCTTTGACCATGATCTTAACTGATATAGATGACTAATTATCTCAGATTATAGAAATGCACTTGTCAGAGATGTTGGCAGATTATTTCCCCTATCGCCACTTTGTCTTTCTTTTGGTTTAAACATTTTTAATGAAAACTTATAAACATGCACAAAAATGGAAAAAAACTTATTTTTTTATTCAGATAAAATGGTATAGGTTTATTTAAAACTTATTTCTCACCTTGAGTATGCAAAATACAAACTCCACAAAATGTCCATGTCTTTACTTCGTAGTTTATAAATACACAAAATAGAAGTTTGCTTAAATTTATATTACATATTTATTAAGGCTGGGAACTATATAGAAAAACACATTTGTCCTATTTATACTTGGGAATAAGCCATTGTACAAAGTGTTGGACATCTGAAACCACAGTGCATAACAGACTGTCTGCATAAAAATGTTAAAGTAAAACAGGTATATTTACCTGACTTAGGTCGTAAAGGTAGATCAGAAGGCAAAATCGATTTTCCTTGTCAGAGTGTGCAGCAGTTTGAGAAGAACTTTGGCTTCCTCATTTGGTACCTTTAGAACCAAGACTCACCAAGCACCATCATATAGGCCATTAAAACACATTTTCTGTGCCTGAATTTCTTCCTCTTCTCCTAACATCATACTAATGGCTTTTAGAAGGCAAAGAGAATACAAGGTGATCTTTATACTTATATTGCATCAAAACACAATTCAAGAAAATCCGGGTCTTCCCGCCCTCCCAAACTCGTGGATCTAATTTATACCCGGATATCCACAACTTCCAGTCTCTCCCGTGGCGTTCTGTGAATCCGGGCGTGTTCCAATTGGATTTGGAATTGGAATGTTAGAAGGTCCAGTCACAGACCCCATCTTTTCATTGATTTTTGTGTCTTTTGGATTTCTCCTTTCTCCCGATTATCCACTCTCAAGCTGCCCTGCTGGGAACTTGACCGTGATTGTAGGGCTTGCCAGCTGGGCTCCTCCCCTTGTGGAAAGGTTTTAAAAAAATACCGAATTCTCTCCTGGCAGCGCGGGTCATGTCCACTCTGGGATTAAAAGTGCCGCTTCATGTGCAAGGCCAGGTGGTCCGACCTGGAGAAGGCCCGGTCGCACTGGTGTGTTTGGGGTAGTGCCGGGTCAGTTCAGCGAGCGGGAGAACTTCTGCCGCAGCCCTCCCGGTCACAGTGCTACGGCTTCTCACCTGTGTGGGTTCGCAGGCGTGGAAAAATAACTTATTAAACTTGGTGTACCCGTTGCTCAAACTCAAGAGGAATCAGTGACCAACTTTGTTTCATTCATAGCAGATCTTTGACTCTTCCTACCCCTCTTTTTTGATTTTGATTTTTTCAAATTTTTAAATTTTTTTTTGGTTTTTTGAGACAGGGTCTCACTATGTAGTTGAGACTGACCTGGAGCTCACTATGTAGCCCAGGCTGGTCTCGAACTCACAGGGATCCTTCTGCCTCAGCCTCGAGTGCTGGGATGACAGCTGTGCGCCACCATGCCTGGCTATTTTTGTTATTAGTACATGTTTACAGGATATGATGATTATATTCCTCATGGGGAGTTGGTACATGTATGTAACACATCTTAATTTTTTTTTTATTCCCTTCTCCTCCACTCCCTCCTGCCTCTCTCCGTGTCTTGGTCTCCTTTCCTTTTGCAAAAGGTCTCTCTCTCTGTTTCCTCCCATCTATCTTATATTTTTCCTTCTTTCTTTTGTACCAGGGATTGAACTCAGGACCTTCTGCTTGCATGGCAGGTGGCGACACCACTGAGTTAAATCCCTGGCCCATATTTTGATTTTTATTTATATTTTGGGCTTCTCCTACAGAGAAAACTTATGGTATTTAAGTGTGCAAGTCTGATTTATTTCACTTAACATGACAGTCTCAAGGTGCATCCATTTTCCTGTGCATGACTCAAGTTTATCTTTCTTCCTGGCAACGTAGTGCTCCACTGTATGTAAATACTACATTTTATGCATTCATCTGTTAATGAATGTTTAAGCTGCTTCCAAGACTTAGCGTATATGGATTGTGCTGCTGTAAACACGGGTATGCATGTGTCACTGTGGTATGACATTAACTCTTTCGGGAAGATACCTAGAAGGGGAATAGCTGGGTCAAATGGAATTTATGTTTTGAGTTTTTGAGGAATCTCCATACTGATTTCCACAGTGATTGTACTGGTTTATGTTCCCACCAAAATTTTCTATATTTCCTTTTCCACCCATAGCCTTGCCAGTATTTGTTGTTATTATTTGACTTCTTGATGAAGGCCATTTTTTGTGGAGGAAGATGGAATTGCAGTGTTGTTTTAACTTGCATTTCTCTAATGGCCAGGGCTGTTGAACATTTTAAAATGTATTTATTGTCCATTTGTACTTCTTTTTCTGAGGAGTGTCTATTCTTTTCCCTTGCTCCTTTTTTTAATGGGTCTTTTGTTTTAAGGGGTCTAATTTTTTTGAGCTCTTTATATATTTTAAATAATAATTCTCTATCTGATAGATAGGTGGTCTTTTCACTCTCTTGGTTGTTTCCTTTGCTGTGCAGAGAAGTTTCTCATTTGGTGAGATCCCATTTGTTGATTCTTGGTGCCAGTTCTTGTGCCACTGGAGTTCTGTTCAGAAAGTCCTTGCCCATGCCTATGCTTACAAGAGTTTCACCTATTTTTATCTTCCAGCAGATTGTTCCTGTTTTAACATTTAGCTCTTTGTTCCATTTTGATTTTAGTTTAGTACACGGTGAGAGATACGGGTCTAGTGTCAACCTTCTGCAAGTGTGGAGCCAGTTTTCCCAGCACCATTTATTAAAGAGGCTGTGTTTCCTCCAGTGAATGTTTTTAGCTCCTTTGTCAAATATCAGATGCTGAATGGGCCACCTACCTCCTTATTTTTAAGCAAATGCAAGTCATTATTTCACTTAATCCTTATAGTTTATTATGTATCTCTAAAAGTGAAAGACTTTAAAAGCCAGAAACATTTTCATACTCAAAGAAGTCAGTAATATCTTAATTATCATCAGCGACCAGTGTATACATTTTCCTGCTTGTCCTTATTGTTTTTTTCAAGTTTATTTGGAATGTGACTCAGAGAGGCCCATATTGTAATTGGTGGATGTGGCTTGTAGTCTATTAATCTGTCCATCTCTATTTTTCTCTTATTTTGTTGCTGTGTTTGAAGAAACTAGTTCTTTGCCCTGCAAATCTACTTTTTTTTTTTTGCTGATTTCATGACAGTAGAATAGCTTGGCACGTTCCTCTGTTTCCTGTGTTTCTTTGAAATTGACTCTTGGAAGTCAGATTGAAGTCAGCACCATTTCAGAGATTTCTGTTTGTTTCTTGTGTGTGTGTGTGTGTGTGTGTGTGTGTGTGTGTGTGTGTGTTTGCAATACTACCTCACACATTGTGGCATATACCTTCATTGGGAGGTATATGATGCCTATTTCTTTTCTTTTTTTGCATGTGTTTTTTGGCAAGAGTTATCTTGTAAATAGGAGGATGAAAACTTTACTTTGCCTTTCTTTAGCCATTTTAAAGATAATAAGTTGGTTCCATAGTATTTTCCAAAGGTCATCAGTGATTTTCTTAGCATCAGTATGAACTCTCATAAATTAAATATACTTGATGTGTGTGTTTGTTTTTTTTTTTTTTGGTACCAGGGATTGAACTCCGGTCCTTGTGCTTGTGAAGCAGGCGCCGGAACCACCGAGCTAAATCCCTGGCCCTACTTGATGTGTTTCAGTCCTATAGTTGTTAATGATTGTTGTTACTGGCCTAGAAGAACTAGAAGAGATGTATGCATTTATGTATGTATGTCGAGTAAAATGAACCATGAGTTCATATTGATATTTCTGTATCAATTTTAAGATTGTAGTTTTTCTATCTTCTTTTTTTTTTTTTTTTTTGAGACAGGATCTCAGTATATGGTCCAGGCTGGCCTTGAACTCACAAGGGTAGCCTCAGACTCATGGCTGGGATTACAGATGTGCAGCACCACACCTGGAAAAGATTGTAGTTTTTAATACAACCTCATCAATCTTATATCAATAGCTACCCCGAAGTTACTTACTTATTTGGTTTATTCTATATTACACACGTTAATCGTAGAATATGAATATCAACAGATATACTGACA